TCCAGATCTCTGATGCATAGCAAGTAATTGCAAAAACCATGGCCTGGATCAGGCAAATCTTGGTCTCTAGACTTATGTCTTTCAACTTCAGCACTCTGGAGAGGTCCCTGACAGCAGATTTTCCAAATCCAATTCATCATTTGATTTCCTGGCTTCTAGTTCCAAAAGTGTTAATTGTGGACTCAGGTAAGCTTATACTGTAAAATAAAAAAAAAATCTCAATTTCTTCTCCTTCTACCATGGTGCTGCCAATTGGCCAATTGGCCAATTGGTGAGAATCTTTGTTTTCTTGCTATTCAGTTTCAATCCATGTTGAAGAATGCAGTCTTTTACTTTCTACATACAGCAGATGCTTCAGGTCTTCCTCATTGACTACACAAAAGCATTTGACTGTATGGAATGCAACAAATTTGTGGCTAACCTTGAGAAGAATGGGAATTCCAGAACACCAGATTGTGCTCATGTGAAACCTATACTTGGATAGATGTCAGAACAGAGTAAGGAAACATTGTATGGTTCATTTTTAGGAAAGGAATGCATCTTGTTTCCATATCTCTTCAATCTATATGCAGAACAGATCATTTGGGAAGCTAGTCTTTATGAGAAGGAATGTGGCATCAGAATTGGAGGAAGACTCATCAACAACTTACATAATGCATATGAGGAGTCAAACAGTTAGAAACAAGTTTAACAAGCCAGTATGTAAAACTTTTAATACAATATTACAAAGTAAAAGAAACAAAGAAAATTTATATAAGTAGAAAAACATACCAAGTCCATGGATCAAAAGATTATTATGATGGCAACACTATAGATTGAACCCCCAACTGGTTATCTTATAGAAATTGATACACTGAAATAAAACTTCATGGAATTGGGAGCTCTGGTGGCATTGTCCTCAGCAACTACTTCTGCTATCCTAAAATTATTATGGAGTTGAAAGAGGCTCAGAATAGCCAAAAGAATTTTTACTAAGAACAACAGTAGTTGAGGACTTATGTTTCCCAATTTCCAAACTTACTGCAAAGCAACAGGATTCAAAACAGTAGAGTAGTGGGGTATACAAAATAATGGAATTGAGGGTAGAGTCTAGAAATAAACCCATGTGTCTATGGTCAACTGATTTTCACCAAGAGTGCCAAAGTAATTTAATAGGAAAATGGTGCAGGGACAATTAGATTTCCAAATGCAAAAGGATGACGTTAGATTCTTGTCTCAAACTATATACAAAAATGAATTTTAAAGGGACCAAAGATCTAAATGTAAGGGCTAAAACTGTAAGTCTCTTAAAAGAAATACAGGATAAATTTTCACAACCTTGGATTTCACAATGAATTCTTAAATTGTGACATCAAGGAGGCATGAAAAGAAAAAAATTAAATAAATTGAACAAGTGAAAGCTTTGTGATTTAAAGAAGACAATGAACAAACTAAAAAAGACAGCCAAATGTAGGAAAACAGACAAACCACATATCTGGTAAAGACTTTGATCTAGAATACACACAGAATTCTTAGAAGTCTAAACAAAAATAATCCAATGAAAAAGTAAGCACTTAGTCATTTTCCCATGGAAAATACATAAACGGTCAATAAGAACGTGAAAATAAAATGTCTTGTTTTCTTCTCCATCCTTAGCAATTACCACCCCATCTCGAATTTTTCTCTTCACAGCCTAGAAAACCTCTATTCTTTCCTTCCTGTCTTTCTTACATTTTTCCCTACTTCATTTTTTAGTTGTTCTTTTTTATCTTTGTTTTTAAATGTGAAACTATACAAACTGTTTTTCCATTAAGCCATTTATACACACTGTTGTTGGTAGGTGCCAGTGAGTCTTCCATGACTCACAGTGACCCTATGAATAACAGATCTGAAGCTTACCCTATCCTGCATATTATAACACTGTAGGATTTGTTTTGCCCAAGTATAAATATTATATTAGAGTATTGAGGATACCATGGACTGCTAAGAAAACAAACAGATTCATCCTAGAGAGGGTTAAACTGGGCTGCTTCTCAGAGGCAAGGATTCTGAAGTTTCGTCTGACATACTTTGGTCATGTTGTAAGGAGAGAACGGTCCTTGGAGAGGGACATCATGCTTGGGAGGTTGGAGGGCAGGTTCAGGAGGGCAAGACCCTCTGGGAAGTGGATTGATTCAGTGACTGGAGTAATCGGGATGGGTGTGTCGGAGATAGTGAGATTGGCACAGGACAGAGCAGAGTTTAGGGCTGTTGTACATAGGGTCGCTATGAGTCGCAAGTGACTCAACAGCACATAACAACAACAACAACACAACATATTATAACATTGCAACAGCCCAATGTAACCTCATTCTCATTTTCTCCCTGGGATTCTTGTTTCCATTAATACCTTTATCCCTCTCCTGCCTTCTGGACTTTGTTGTTGCAGTTACTATGTGCCATCAAGTCACTTGCAACTGACAGCAACCCTATGCACAAGAGCCCTGAACCCTGCCCTATTCCGAGCCAATCTCACTGTCTCTGACACCTCTATTCCCATTTACCTCAGTTATTGTGTCAGTCCATCTAATTCTAGGTTTTCCTTTGTTTGCTGTCCCATCATCCTTCCAAGCAAGTCCTTCTCCAAAGACTGGTCCCTTCTGACAACATACCCAGACAAAGTATGTGAGATGGAGCTTCAAAATCCTTGCCTCCAAGGAGCAACTTTGCTTCACCCTCTCCACGACAAAACTGTCCTCTTGACAATACTCTTCTCCAGCACCACAACTCAACAGCATCAATTCTGGGGTGTTCTGGTGGCCTAGTGGCAAGACACTGCATTGCAATCCCAGAGGTACATGGTTCAAATCCACCAGATGCTCTGCTGGAGAAGGAGGGGGCAATCTCCTGCTGTATCAGTCAGATCTGATTTGACGGTACATGTAAAAATAATACAATAAAAATAAAATAAAATAAAAATTTAAAAAAAAACAAAACAGCATCAATTCTTCTGTCATCCTTATTTATTGTCCAGCTCTCTGATGCATAGCAAGTAATTGCAAAGACAATGGTGCATCTTAGTCTCCAGACTGACACTGTCACTCTTCAGCACTCTGGAGAGGTCCCTGACAGCAGATTTTCCTAAAGAAATTCATCTAGACTTTATACTTGGGCAAATCCTACTCTTTTGATCTCCTATGGCTGTTTATTTTAATCAGTAGTGCCTTCCTGATGTTACTGGTCACCTTACTGGCATCTCTATTGTTTGGCTGAGAACTGACAGGTTCAAAGCCATAGTTACAGGGATTCCACTTGTCACAAAGGAAATCATTAATAATGTTTATGCTTCACTCTGCCTAAGATCTGCTTTGGGAGGCTTTTGAGAGTGGTCTGCAGGAGTAGTTAGTCATCATCTGGTTCTTCTAGTCCTAGCTTCGTGGATGTTGAAATCCTCGTAGTCCATCAGTCTTCTGGACTGTTAATTGCATCTTTGCTTTTCTTCTGTCTTATTTGTTCCACACAGCGTGGACAATAGTTGCACCTCAGATGGCTGCTAAAAAGCTTTTAAGAACCCAGTTGCTATTTACCAAAGTCAAACATTGTCTTTGTGGACTATGTTATGCCTCTTGACTCTGACATCCCCTACATGCTATTTCATTTGCTTAAAAAAAATCCTCTCTCTCTGCACTTCCCAGTAACAAACATGTACTTCATATTTAATTGGTTAAAATACCAAGAACCGAATATTCTTTTTAATGTTGTTGTTGTTACATGTTATTGAGTCATTTGGGACTCATAGCGACCCTATGTACAAGAGCCCTAAATGCCGCTCTATCCTGTGCCAACCTCACTGTCTCAAACACATTTATTCCCACCACTCCACTCACAGAATCGATCCATCTCATCGAGGGCTTTCCTCTCCAGCGCCATCCCTCCACTCTCCCAAACATGATTTCCCTCTCCAAGGGACATCTGCAACATGCCCAAAGTATGTCAGACAAAGCTTCAGAATCCTTGACTCCAGGGAATATTCTGGCTTCACTCTCTCCAGAACAAACCTGTTTGTTCTCCTAGCAGTCCATGGTATACTCAACACTCTTCTCCAGCACCACAGCTCAAAGGCATCAAATTCTCTTTCTATCAACCTTATTCACTGTCCAACTCTCTGATGCATAGCACGTAATTGCAAAGACTATAGCCTGGATCAGGCGCACCTTAGTCTCCAGCCTGATGTTGTTGCACTTCAGTACTCTTGAGAGGTCCCTCACAGCTGACTTTCCCAATGCAATTCGTCTCCTGATTCCCTGGCTGCTGTTACCAAGAGTGTTGACTGTGGAACTAAGTAAAGTAAAACTGTTAACTATCTCAATCTCTTCACCATCCATACTGATGCTGCCAATTGGCCCAGTGGTGAGAATCTTTGTTTTCTTGATATTGAGCTTCAATCCATATTGAAGACTGCAGTCCTTGACCTTCTGCAAGCGCTTCAGGTCCTCCTCAGTTTGAGAGCAGGTACTATTATTAAAATGGGTCTGTTTGCACGTGGTTTTTGTTTTTAATGTGACCATCCGTGCATTTTCTCTTAGGACCATTTATCCTACAGAAAGTTTCTTACCTTCTTTTTTTTTATATGCAGTGGGAAGGAGGTAATTCTATTTGTGGCCTCTAGGGGGGGGTTTCCTCTCAGCTCCCGAAAATCCTACAAAGACAGCGCGGGCTTCCGCCAAGGGGTTCGGCGAAGTCCTGCTGTCATCTAGCTGCCAGAAGGAGAAAGGACACCTTTGCTGCTGGGCGGTTCACCAGGCGACCGAGACAGCACCGGAGCCGGGCCAAAGAGGAGGGCGCAGGAGAAGAGATGCTGACCGGCCGCAGGAATTCTCTTTTCTATTGGCTGAAGGGCTGTCAGCCATCACCGTAAACCAATGAGCTCATGTCGCTGGATGGTGTCATAAATTATGCGACTCCTCCCATCCACGATCTAGCAACGCGTCTAGCGACCCATTGGGTAGACTTCTTGTTCTTCCAGGGGTCTCGATCGTCTAATGTGCGCCCCGCGGCGGTACGTGCTGTTGCAGACGTTCTTCCTGATGATCCTCGAAGGCGCCCGACCTCAGTCTTCTTCCTCCCCGCCGGGGACGGTGCCCACCGCTTCCTCCCGCCCGGGGACGGTGCCCACCGCTTCCTCCCCGCCGGAGACGGTGCCCACCGCTTCCTCCCGCCCGGGGACGG